GTCTCATATTTAAGTCTTCAAGGCATTTTGAGTTTAGTTTTGTGTATGGAGTGTATGCCCCTATTCTTATGGTTTGCTTTGTTGCAGTCTTTCTAATGATGACCTGGGGTTGAATAATGGCTTTATTACTAATAAGCTGTGTGAAGCTGGGCCAATCCCCTACTTCCCCAAGGCTCAACAAATAATCTTGATCTCTTAGGTTTACTCTCTAGGTCAAATGGCCAAATAAAGGTCAAACACTGAATGCTGCCTACACACGTACATCATAGTCATTATCATCTCAATATTCTTTTTTATTATTTTCCCAAAGTCCTTAAAGACAACTACAGAGTAAGTTCTTTACCCAAACCCAGAGCTCAGAATTTATATCAGTTGGTTTGTTCCTCACCCTACCAAGAGTTATCTCCAGTTTCTAGCTACTTTAAGACATTTATTCAGAGGGGCTTCTAATTGATACCCACTCTTTATCGTTTCTCAGAGATACTGCCTACAGCATTACTGGAGGCAATGATAAATACAATAATGATAATTCCACAAAACCTCAATGTGTGCTTGAGGATCCAATGACAGCCTGAATTGTCTTCCCACCATTTAATAGGAAGCCACATTGGATTTGCCATCTGCACAGCACTTTTGAACCTGTCAGGGAAACAGGAAACCAGTGAACCTTCATCTTATCACTAGTCTTCTTGAGGACTCTCTCTAATGCAAATGAAAATAGCATTCATTAGAGTGAAAAATAGAAAGCCTGTGTCATTTCCCTCTGTCTCCTTGGCTAGAAGTTAAGTCCATCCTTGACAGTGAGGAGGTGGCTTTGAAAGCCCACTATACACTCATCTCCTGATGTTGGAGTATGAATATTCACTTAAATTCTTTAGAAAAGTGTAGAGTTATTCATTCTACTGGGACATAGGGGCTCAAGGGACATTATAAACATAAAAAGAGCTCCACTGTTTCAAAGTCCTAAATATGAGAAAATACTCTAGAAGCCATGATAAATTCCAGGTAAATAAAATAGGACTTCTGAGATGAGATGATTTTTATTTTTATTTTTGTCTCTCCTGATCATCTAGAATAATAATACAAATGTATGCAGTCCATTGTTAGTGTATCCTTGTTAAAACAAATACACAAAAATCAGAGACCCACAAACCCCTTGCCAGTAGTATATACTAATACTTCAGTATTGCTGCATTTCTTTTCATTTGGCGCTTTGCTTACAATTAGGGATGCCGTCCCTAGATGAAAAATGTGTCGTATACGACCATGAGGTTAAAAATATGAATTATAGCTTATTCATTCAGTAATCCATTAATTCAACATATATCTAGTAAACCTACCATGTGCCTGGAACTTTGCAGGCAAAATTAGTTACATCCTAGAAATTTCGCCTTACCTGAAAGTAATCATATATTTATGGCTACTTTTATGTAGAAACCTTATACTATCAATTTCTAATTTATTGATGATGCAGGTAATCAGAAAGAACACACTCTTATGGAACATTTCTTGCAAATTATGGTAATCTAATTCTCTCCTTATCCTGATACCTTGATTAAAATTGCCTCCTTCCTCTGTCACGAATTCTGAATCCCGTCGTGGTGCCATTCTTCTGAACTGGATGTCACTTTGGATTCTTTTTGCAACAGCAGCCCCTTGAGGGGCTTTTCTCGGCTGCCGGGAATCCAGGGACTTCTTTTCCTTCATCCCCCTTATCGTTGATCTGTTCACTCTGTTTGGAGTTTAGACTAGTTGCTCAGCTTAGGAGTAACCCAATGCCCTCTCTGCCCTCTTCTGCCCGGACTTACCCCCATCTCATAGTGAAGAAGGGATGATGTACAGACTGAAGTCAAGGGGTTAACTGAGCTTAGGTCTGAGACATTCTCATCTTTAGGGATCTTTCTTCTGAGGTCCTCTTTTTCATAGGATGTCAGTTCGAGTCTAGGGCTGCTCTGAGAAGGCTTCACCCATTTCTAATCTAGGCACTGGAGGGTACTTAGAATCTCACGCCTCAGGATTTGCACAGTGTAGAGTAGTTGAGGGAAGACAGAATCTTGGGTCCTGACTATGTCTCTTGCTGTTTATGACCAATAACCTGACTTCTTTTGAATTAGAGGGACAAATTTCATTTGTCTTCTACATTTCCAGATCTCAGCTCTATTCTTTCTGACAGCCCTGTGTCTTCTCTCCTATAGGCTGACATGGAAAGGGTGAGAAAAACCACATAACAGAGCCTCAAGACCACTTCCCTGCAATTACAACTTTTTTTTTCCCTGTTGTATATATCCCCCCTTCCTTGGGAAGTCTTTCAAGTGTCTGTCTTTCTGATCAATACTTTATTCGCAATCAGTGACTCAGGTTGCCTCTAGCAACAGCTTTAGCTTAAGCATATCATCAGACATACCTTCTCCCTTCAATATTTGTTTTCCATAAGCTTGTATCTCACCACGCCACGTTTTCCAACAACACTTGTAACCAGGAGATTTAATGATTCTTAATAAATGGGAGACAAAGTATTTTTGTCAAGCTATCATGATAGGGACATTCTTTTGGACCCAAGCATTTATTGTAGGATTATCTCTCAATTTGTGTGTATGCACATGCGAGTGCATGCACACACACACAGACACACACACACATACATGCATAGCAAAGTCCATCTATATGTATATGCAGAGGTACATATATTTAACAATACATAAGGCAATATAAATACTGCTTTTGCCTTCTGTAATATTAAACCTAGTATGAACGTAATAGAAATATGCTCAGTTCATAAGATATTAGGATGAAGAAATAAAAATTAAGGTGAAGTGGAAAAGAAATTGAATGAATTTATCTTGCTACATGCTTTCTCCAAGTACAGAGCATGAGCCCAGCCAGTGGCTTTCCTAGGCTCCCTGAGCATCATTAGATACAACATTTAGGCCCATTTGTGCATTAAATCAGAATATTTCATACTAGCATCTGTTTAAGCCTTTGGGCTGCTCAGATCCTCAGGTCCTAGGGTAAGAAGAATGAGAATTTTCTGAAATCCAGAAAAGTCTTCTCTGAAGGCAGTCTGTCCCCAGACCACTCCTCTTAGGAAGGAAAGATCAAAGAAAACACCCCAAATTCGGTCTATTATGGTTGGGAACACCACTTGCAGTTGGATATATAATTTCCTATTTTCAAAGGCCATTTACAGCTCTGCCTTAAATGGGTTTCATATATAGTCATATGTATATTCATATATACTTTATACATATCCCTGATTTATAGGCAGAAGGCTTTTAAGACAACGAGTCACAATGAGTAAAACCTCTATAAACTTTCCACCCCACACTAGTTCTGGGAAAGTCTGAGAATGACCGCATTCCCTGGGAGCCTTAGAGGTTAAGTGTAGTTGGGCTGCACTCAAAATCTCTTGAGAACGAAACCTCCCGTGATTTGCTTTGTCCCTTGTCCTTATCCCGGCAGGACCATCTAAGACAGATGGTCCTAGAGATTTCTAGATCCAGAGGGAGCCCTTTGACCTCATTAGTACCTTCCAACTGCAGTTTTACTCACAAACCCTACAACAGATAGCACAGAGTCTTCCGAGAACCGTGGTTAAAAATTCCAAGGAAGTCGCCTAGACTGCGGATGAGGATTATTTCTGTTAAAATATAAATGTAGCGTCTTCATGGCTTCTTTGAAGGTATACAGATAATACTTTTTAAATGCAAAGTGCCATGAAGCCATGAAGGAGAAATCGCAAGGAAAACAATCTCCAGATTGGAGAGGGAAGTTGGGAGGCAGAGTTACTGCTTCTGTTTGGACAGAGTGTTACGAAAGCAAAATGGAGTGTGTAGTGGACACAGAAAGGCAGGCGTGAACTGGCGGGGGGAAATAAGATAAGTTTGAATAGAATGACATGGCAGATGATAACTAAAATTGTGCCTGGACTGTGTAGAAACGAAACACAGTCCGCATGAGGACTCATGTCACAGGTTGAAGAAAGGGGACGGATGAGCCACAGTGTCCCAGGTAAGAGCCAGGTTCACATGCTGGTCTGGAAAGCCCTGATGCTGGCAGCACACTGCTGATCACCAGCTGCCCGGTGAATGAATGGAACAGAGGAAACGGGATCCCTGAAGGAGTCGTATTTGTTGAGCTGTTTACCAATATTAGCAGCAGAGCTATTCCATGCTGTAACACCTGAGCATGTAGAAAACTCTCATTTCTTTTGTCGAGAACATTAATTTCATTAACTGATTCAACAGATATCTATGAAGGACTTGCTGTGTGCAAGACATTATGGTAGGTGCTGGGAACACAATAAAAAAGCAAGATAAAGTCCTTGCCCTACAGAGTTTTCATCATGTAAGGACGGTATAATACATCAGTAAATATGCTAGAATATATGCTGTCATTAGCGCCAGAAGGACCACACACAGGGAGCTCTGATTGAGAAAAATGAGCAGAGATGGGCTTACTAGATAGAGTGGTTTGGGAAGGCCTCCCTGAGAAAACTGGAAGGTTAAGAATCAGTCGTAAAACAGAGTTGTGAGCACCGAGTTCCAACCCGCTGAAGGCAAAGGAGACAGCAGACGCAGAGGCCCAGAGGCCCAGAGGGTGAAACAGCTTGGTATGTTCTAGGAACTAACAGCAGGCAGCCAGTGGGAGACGTGTGACACTGTTGAGGTACGCGGGAGCAGCAGACAGACGGAGATCAAAATGGGAGCTTCATTGCTGGAAAAAGCCAGGTTGGAGGGCGTGGTATAGATGGCTGGGGGAGGGGCTTGCTGGTGGACCTCAGAACTACACTTGCCCACCCAGGCCTGGTTGGAAGACACCAGCATCCCCAGCTGGACCTGGACCTGCGATTTACCCCACGGAGGAAGAGAGGGTGAGTCTTCCCAGGGAGCAGGCTGCCACTCCAAAAAGAGATTTAAGAAAAAAGAGGCTGGACCGTGTGATTCAACCCCTCCTCCCAAACCTACTGAACAAGTCACTCCTCTTCCCCTGGGTACCAGATGCCAGGAGGCTTACTCAAAGGGCAGTCCCTTCATTAGGAAACTTGAAGCCAAATAAGGTGGTTCCTGTACGATAGCTATTTAGTTTGTGCCTATGTGTTTGGACTAGAAAAGGCAGGTTGGAAGAAGTAAGACTCTGCAGTAGAATGTGGCCTGTGGCTTTTGATTGGAGAAATCCCTCACAATTTTCACCAACAGTTTTTTCCCTTTAGGTAGTACCCACAGACGGCCGCCATCAGAGATCATGGCAGAGATGGGTTAGGCAGAGCTCTTTTTTGGTTTTGATCCAGTTACAGCTCAGCTGGATTTACAATAGGAAATGCTGTCCATCGGGATTTGCGTGAGGCTGACGTCTAAGCCAATTCCTGTGTCTTTGAACTCATGCTACCATGGTTATAGGCATGCACACATGTGCCTGGCCCACGTGCATCCCCTGTCCCTTTCATTAGTATGTAAACCTCCTTGGCTGGTTTTATATCTGTCCAATGGCATCTAGTTCCGTTAGAGAAATTCAGTTTTTGCTCTTTGACTTCCTGATTCATAAGGTTAAGGACAGCGCTGTTTAACATTGGTGGGTTCAAGCCAATGAGGAAAGTTACCTCCTCCCCATTTCATTCAAAACCTTTATCCTCTTTCCCTAAACACTGTGGTTGCCAGTGAACAACCTGCACAGAAGCAGGGGGAAATCCTAGTTAGAGTGAAAAGAGCCCTTCATCCTTTGGGAAAGCAGGCTGGGCTCGCTCCGATTCACACACAGTGAAATCCTGCTTATCCCAGTGTTTCCTGCTGTGTCCCCTAGGATCCATTAGCAGTGACTTTCTTGGCATTTGTGGCTGGCAGAAATGAGATCACCCAGGCCCAACAAGCTCCAGTCCACTGAGGGTTGAATTTCAGCACAGGCAGGCTGAGCACCCTTCCCAGCGGCTGGCTGGGAGCAGCGTTCTCACTGAAGGAGCTCTGGTGGTCCAGGCGGAAGTGACCCTTTCCTGTCCGTGGGATGCTGCCTTCAGTAAGACAATTATTGTTCTCTTTAAAAAAAATTTTTTTTTTAAATTTTTACAAGACGTGCATCATTCAGAAAGTTTTAATGGTTCTATGAGGTTTACAATGAAGCCCTCAGCGGCTTGCCCCAGCCCTGGATTCTTTCTCCCCAGAGGCACTCACTTTCAATTATATAATCCTTCTTCTGGTAGTTACCTCAATAATTTTAAATAACACGCTTACACTGCTAGTTTTTCAATGTTAGGCATAATCTATCGATTTTCCTACTATAAAAAATTAAGATTTGAGTCTCTGATGCATGCACACACACCGCACGCATGCACGCACACACCCCTTCTCTTCGCCGCATTCTCCTGCTGTAGTCATATCATGATTTTGCAAGGGATCAATATGCATTGTTTACTTGCTGTGAGGTTATAAATAAGATGCTCATACTGCTGAGTTGTATGGAGCCCTCTGATTTTTCCCTTGTACAACTTTTCCCCTGAAGTGAATAATTTGCCTAAATGATCTTTTCTCTCAGCTATACATGCAACTATCTTTAATTCATCCCCAAACCGGATCTCCTCTCAGTGCTTCAAAACACATGGGGTAATCTCTCTTGTCACGCCTTCTCTTGGAAACATCCCTCCTGGAGCCTTCATCCTCTCCTGCCATTTGATGGTTGCTCGCTGGGTCCACCTCCAGCCGCCCTCCTGGCGGTTTTGTTAACTCAGAGTACACGCAGGAGTGAACACTTCCCTCTGTATGGGAGTCACGGATTTCTCAGATCCCTTTTTTCCCTCTTTCTTCTCAGGTCTTCCAATAGCTTTCCAAAAAGGGTCCATGAATTGGAGATACATTTTAGGTCACTTTTATATCTGGAAAAAAATCATTATTCTATTCTCTCTAATTGACTGAGGCATAGAAACAGAAGTTGAAGTCATCTATTCATTGTCTTCTAGATTCCTATGTGACTATTGAAAAATCTCATATTATTTTTATCCCAATTTTTAATATTTAATCTATTTTTTTCTCTCTGGAAAGAATTTAAGATTTTACCATTTTCCCAGAAATCCTGAATTTCATAATACTGTGCCTGTACACCCTTTTTCATTCTAGAAACTCAGATCTTTTAGTTCTGAGAAATTTTCTTTTTTTCCCTAAAATATTAATTTTTCCTTTTTTTTTTTGGCTAGAACTACAGGGTTGATCCTGTAGATTTGGGGTCGGGGAATGGGTTCTTTTGTTTGTTTGTTTTTATATATTCTCTGCTATTCTTTCTCATTCTCTCTCTCTGTGTTTTGTCTTCTGGAAGATTTCCTCACCTTTATTTTTTAGTAATAAATGTTTCATCTCTGCAATTGTAGCTTTAATTTCCAGTGACTCTTCTTTGTTCTCTGAATGTTCCTTTTTATAAAGGCCTCTTGGAGCAGCATCATTTGCATGATAGTTGAACTTGTAAACTGAACGAGCAAATAGCCGGGTGCAGACGCCAGCTCAGCTGCTTAACCAGCTGTGTCACATCTGACGACACACTTCCTCCCTCTGTGCCTCAGTTTCCTCGACTGTAAAATGAGGATGGAAACAACAGCCACTTCTCGCTGTGTTACTGTGAGGGCTCAGTGAGTTACTCTGAAAGCACGTGGGGCAGCGCCTAGCACATAGCAAGTGCTCAGTACGTGTCAACTTTCATTACTACGTATGTGATATCATCTCTCATTTTTCTGAGGATATTAATTACAGGGATTTTTTTTTCCTTGAAAATCCTTTTTTGCTTCCTGCTTCATCTCTGCATTTTCTTTTCTGTTTGTTTTGGTCTCGCCGTTTCACAGGGCTTCCCTCCAACATTTCAGGATCTTTTAACAGTGAGAAATTTAAATGCTGATGGGGTGCTCTGGGGTTTGCCCCTGGCTTGTGCCTGAGTGGGTTTCACCGGATGTCATCTGCTGGATGTTTCCCTAGTACAGGTCTTGGGCTGTTTCCTCTCTTGCCTGGGGGTCTAAACCTGGCAGCCAGCGTTCTTGCACATGAGCTGGGTAAGGGGCCCAGGCCCTCCAGTGCACTCTGTAGAGGCCTCTGGGGGCCTAACTGCTTCTAACAGAGACATTTAACAAATACTCTTGTTTTCAGCCCTGCTTGCACTCCCAGTTGAAAGGTATCATTGCTTCCTGTTCCTGGGGTTTTCTGAATTTTGAGGGTATAGACTTGCTTGCTTTTGGACATTTCTCACCACCGGCTCTGGTTTCACCCTTCTCTGACGCACTAAGTTTATTACCACTTGTTCATCCATTCTCTCTAGTGCGAAGAATTGTGTGGTCATTTTCCCTCCTTAGTTTTTCTTGACTCATGACTGTATGCAGCCTTTAAAAAAAATCATTTTATCGGCCTATTTGTGCAGTTTCACGAAGATGCAGAGATACACTCTTTACAATTATACTTCACAATGCGTATCTCATGATTCTGGGTTTTGCCTAGTGGAAGGACTGTAAATGATAAGGGCCACAATCCAGGTAATTAATAAGTAGATTACCTTAGTTTGTGAAGATGCGGCTACAGATGTTTGGTGAGGGCTGTGAGCTGTGAGTCTTGAGAGGGAATTTTCCTGATTGGCCAGCAGGCTCTCGGTGTATGACCAGCAATTCACACGTGTGACCTGGCTGGCGAGGCTCAGGGAGCAGCGTGTGCTTCCAGGTCTGTGATTTATCGGCTGTCTGACCTTGGACAATTAAAACCTCTGACTTCAGTTCCTTCCCTGGTGAAGAAAACACACCTCTGCTTCTAAGTTTTGTGTTAGGTTCAGAAACTGTAAAGTGCAATGCTCTGTACGAATAATAGAACATGTTATATTTTCATTGCTTCCCTTTCTTAGCTCCCAAACATATCAGTGTGTGTGCATGTATTTTACAGCACAAAGTACACTAGAGTGAAATGTTCATTTTCCTATCCTTCTCCCACATTAGACTGTGTGGCTTCTAGGCCGGTATATTGGCCATGATTTTCTCAGTTGGTCTCATCAGGTCCTAGTACTGGGCAGGGTACATAATAGCTGTTCACTAAAATATTGTCTTAATAAAGAGGAGACAGAGCTATCTGGCATAATCTTGACCTCCTTAGTTGCAACTTCTAACCATCTCCATATACCGTTAAGAGAAGTCACATCCATGACTGAGACGACCCATTCTTCATTGGCTCTTAGCAGCCGTAGTCTGGTTCACATTGCTGGCCGTGAATGCCTGGGGGGCAGACCTGAAAAATGATACTCCTGCTAAGCCTGACTGCACGTCCTATTACCCATCCCTTGAGTCATATGTTTAGCAACTTATATTTAATAAATACAGCAACTGAATCCGATTATTGCGAGCCCAGTGATAGTTAAACTCAATTGCCAGGGAAACAGAGTTAGAATCCTGAATTGTTTTTATGTATTGCGATGGGCAATTGGAATGTCTGTTCCATATGGCGTGGACTCTGCGAATTGCACAGCCCGTTCCCTGTCAGATGGTCCCATTTTGGGTCAGTGATGATGACAGGAAGCAATGTGTAGACGCAGGTGATCCCTAAGGGGGTCCATTAGACTTCTGTTGTCTCCCCTCAATCACTGTCCCACAGCAGACCAACGGTCTTTGGCACAGCTGAGCTTGCATCCTTACGTTTGTAATTGGCGCATTGATATTTACGATGCTGGCTCTATGTAGGGCTTCAGAAAGGCAGAGACAATGATGGGAAGAGAACAAATGCCTCATATAAAGGTTAGTGGAGATTGTTTCCATGCTTCCAGAGGCGGGGGCGGGTTCTTTTATCTGCACCAGTTCACCCGTTTCCAGCTGTCATGGTTCTGAGGTGCATCCACAAAGCTGCCGAGCGTTCAGCCAGAGAGGAGGGGGTCACCTGCTGCTCAGCCTCCAGAGTGACATTTTTCCTTCTCTGACCACCCTCCCAGCCCCCAGAATGTCCTCTCCTTCCTTCTTGAGGCTGCCTGGGGAGTTTACCATCCTTTACCCTGGCGGGAGGAAGTGGCTTCCTCTCCCATCATTGAGTGGAAATTACAGAAATGTCTTTAAAGATGTTCCCCTCGGGCTCACCTGTTCAGCTTATTAATAAAGCCATTCTATAGCTTCTGGGGGTGAAATGGCCTGCTATGAGCCTGAGGTCACTCTTTGAAAAAAGAACTCCATTCAGATCCCAAGAAGAGACACACGCCTCTCTCAATGCCCCTTGCTAAGGCTTTTGTGAATGCTTTTAGAGTCTATTACGGGGAGGCTGGCTTGGCCACATTAGGAATATCAATTGAGTTCACACAGCCATTCTCCCTATCACAAAGGAGCATTCACACGGTATTCACCGGCACGGTGGAGACAGTAAGTCTGCTTCCATCCGCAGCCCCTTTCCCTTCCTTGTCAAGTGGAATCAGCTCAGCGAAGGGCGCGCGGGCAGTCTAGCTTTAAGAAATTGCTCTGCAACCTGACCTCTTGAGCCCGCAGCCCCTTTTTCTCTCTCCTTCGCTTGTCCTGAGTAGGTTCCTTCTTCTCTAAACATTCTTTCCATCTTGTGGTGATCTTTCTCCCTTTCTTGCTCGCTTTCTGAGTTTCTTCCTAAAAATCCGCAGCTCGGCAAACTCGTGGGTGTGGATGTTGAAATGTCATGGCGACTGACTCCGCCGCTCAGTGGCCAGGATACCAAGCCCTCTGCTCTCCATTGAAAGGACAGTACCTTCCAGCTGGAGTGCACAAATGCCTTGAAGTCACAAAATTTTCTTGTTTAAAAAATAAAACGACACCTCCTTGCTCAAGTGGTAAGAGTCTTAACGGCCTACGTAAGGCAAATGGCAATAAAGCAAAACCAGGGCTGCTTTATAGCCAACCGTTCACGTGAGAGAGATGCGTACAGTAATGATAATAGTCGTAACAAGAAGTAGGTGTTAGGGAAGGAGGGCTGGAAGTGGGGGCTGTGATAAAATGCATCTCTCCCACCCTTGTCGTGTGTGTGTAACTCCTACAAAGCAAGGGCGGGGCACTCCTCCCTGGGCAGGGGACAGCCGCACTGACCGAGTGCCTCCTGTTTTGTCTTGGTCCTTGATCACGCACGGCTGCATGGTGGGGATGAGGCTGCCATCTGGAACTAGGTGGAAGGAAGAAATGGCTCTCCTTGCCTTCTACCATGTTTCTCTCTTACACATAATATCAGAGGTACCCCCCCACCATAGTCAGACACAGTTATTATACTGGGCCCACTGGCCAGTGTCTAAGTCTTGGTCACTGCAGAAGAGTCATGTCAGACGGACTCCTTACACAAGGACTTGCCCCTCTAGAGAAGCCTAGAGGCACTTCAGTATGTTCTAGGGTGTTGGGGTTTATATTTCGGGCCATATGCCAGCGGCTAGGAGCTAGGCAAGGCAGTATCCCTCCCATGCACCCCAGTGAACCCTCCCCAAAAAATTCTTTGGCAGCAACAGCATCTAATTTTAAGTTCATATCCCACTTGCCTTTCCTCTTGTCCCCTGCCTCCGGAAAGTCTTATTTAAATATTCCCCCTGGTCCTAGCTACGCTACAGAGTTGGGAGGACAGGATCCTGGCTCGTGTTTGGTCAGAACATTAAGTAGGAACAGCTCTGTCCCCAGATGAGCAGTGGTGGCCCTAGTAATTAACAAAAGATTTCCCTTAGGCAGCATTTTCCAAAGTGGGTTGCATATAATGAGAGTTCCGTTTGGATATTAATAAGCCTTATGGGGAAAAAGAGCGCCATGGTTAACCAGATTTGGGGAAAGTTGAGTTAAGCATCTGAAATGAGCTGCCTCCTCGCAAGGCTGCACAAGGCCTTTTCACTAGTTTTCTGTGGTTGCTGTGACAAATTGCCACACCCGGCGGTTTGCATTCTTATAGTTCTGGAGCCCAGAAGTCTGAAGTCAGTATCACTGAGCTGAAATCAAGGTGTTAGCAGGGCTGTGTTCTCCCCGTGAGCACTAGGGGAGAATCTGTTCCTTCCTCTTTCAGTTTCTGGTGGATGTCCCCATTTCTTGACTTGTGTCCAGGTCACCCTGATCTTCACGGCCAGCATCTTCACTTGTCTCTCTGCTGCACTGTCATGTCATCTTCTCCTCGGGGTGTGTGTGCATGTGTGAAACCTCCCTCTGCCTCCCTCTCACGAGGATACATGTGATTGCATTTAGAGCCCACCCCGGGATAAACTGCTCCTCTCAACATCCTTAATTTAATCACATCTTTTGTCATATTAGGTAATGTTCATATCCCTCCAGGGATTTGGGAGTGAATATATCTTTTTTCAGGATCACCCTTTAACTCCCTGCAGCCTTTAATATGTTACGAGCAGAGGGCATCTCCAGGGTGAGGCAGGTGTTGTGAAGTGTTTCTCAAACCTTGGTGATAAACCAACCCTCCTTTCAGGACATTTCTGTAGGATCAGTGTTCTGAAGAACACACTTTGGAAAATTTCACCAAGGGAAGATGAATCTCGGGGGAAAATGAAACCTGATCCATCCAGCTGCCCTTCCCTTCATAGATCTGGGTTATATTTTCCTAAGGAAGATGGCACTTTCCTTGCCTTAGGAGTTAATATCATTGCACAGAGAAAATATGAAAAAGAAATCAGCAATTTCACAGGGTCATCTAAGCCAGACTCCGCAGATGAAGTGTCTCTAGGGAACAGTGAAAATAGCATTGTATTAGGAGTTTCAAAACCTGGGTTGGATTCCTGGTCCTCTAATATACAAGCCTAAATGATGCTGAGGAAGTAATTAGACTTTTCTAAGCCTTGGTTTTCTCATCTGTGAAATGGGGATACCTACCTTGTCATATCCTGTGACTACCTTGTGCAAAAAGCACTTTATTAAATATGAAACTTTATGCAATATAAATCATTATTTTTACTCTGGGAAACCCAAAGTTGAAAAAAAAAAATCTTGTCCTATACGAAGACGATGATGGTGAGGGTAGGTGATCTTCTCTGGAGGTCAAGTTGTTTTTGCTCAGTAAGAGACCATAGCAACATGACTATCCTTTTTTAAAATTTTTTAAATTTATTTATTTGGGGGAGTAATTAGGGTTATTTATTTTTAATGGAGGTACTGGGGATTGAACCTAGGACCTTGTACATGCTAGTCACATACTCTACCACTGAGCTATACCCTCCCCCAACTATCCTTTTTGATATCCTGTTATATATCCAATACTCGGCATCTAGTATGTTCTCAGTAAATGTGGGATGAGTGAAGTCTCCTTGCCTGGATCACTTCCCCCAAGTATCAGTTTCAGAGACTCATGGACTCCCTGGGCTGAAAGGGCTCTTGAGATATCATCAAATGCTGATTGGGGAACTATCAAAGGCTGGCTACAGGAGAATCAGCTGGGAGCGCATTAAATACAGTTGCCAGGCACCACCCTGGGGATTCTGATTCAGTAGATCTGAAGTGGCACCTGGGAATCTGCATTTTTAACAAGTTTCCTGGGGGATGTTGATACCGCTTGTCCGTAAAACTGATTAAGCCTTTCCCAGTATCTTCATGCAGAACCACTCCAGAAGCATCACACTAGGTAGTCTATTTATTTTTAAAGATCTCCATGGATTTTTGCAACTTCCTTTCCTAGAAATGCCCTTTGTACCAAGTGGTCATATGAGAGAGCCACAACTCAGGGCATCTTAGTTCATTCACTCACTCATTCACTTATCTGTCCCTTCCTACAGGCATTTATTTTGCACCTACTGTGCACCTGTCACTGTGCTAATTTATTCCACTGCATCCCTTCTCAGGAGCTCCCTTGTCAACACGAACCCCATTTCTCTTTTTTTGACTTGAGTAAATAGAGATATAGGGAGACTCGCCTTTCTGCTTCACTGTTTGCTTTTCTCTTTTCCAGGGATTATCTTTAAAGTAAGAAGGAAGCTTTTCTTTCCTTGAATGATGAATCTTTTAATGCCTCAGAATCATGGATCAGACAGTTGGGAGGTGCCTCACAAGACCCAGTCCTCGAAGAGGTAAGGAACCATCGTCCCCCCTTCCCCATTTACACATAAACTGAGTAGAAGTTAGGAACACCGGATGATTTTCCCAGCAGCCGATTCAAGAAATGTGGGGCTTAGAGCTCCTGTCTCTCCTCCTTTTATTTCTTAAAATAATGTTTATTCAGAACTCTTCATTCTGAAATAATATATGTGGAAGCAATATTCTCCCCCCACAAAAAAAAATTCTACCTTTCGTCTATTCATCTGGCTGGCTTGGGGAGCGGGCCTTTTCTTCTGCAGGGCTCATAATTACTTATTGACATCTGATATGTGCCAGTGTTGGCTTATAAGTAAATATCCCATGCCCCCAAACTGAGCCAGCCGATAAAGGGTGGATGAGTAAACTGTTAGTTGTACTTTATTTTCCTAGGCTGCAGTGTGGCCTTGAGTTTTCTTCAGAGTCTCTCTAGCCCCAGAGGGTGACAGTGCCTCCCCATGAGCCCCACTTCTCCTGTCTTTTTGGGTCTCTCTTCTAAGGATGCTCCGTTCGTTTGTCACCAGCGGTCTCCAATGTCAGTGGGGAGGCAGGTCTCCAGGCAGATCTAAAACCTGCCATGGGATCTGCTGGAGTTGGGGTGTAGCAGCTGGTACTCAGCTCAAGTTTCACAGGGTCCAGGATGGTGCTGCCCTCCTGTGGCAAGTCATGTCCTACCAGGAGCGAGGAGGGATGAACCCATATCTCTGACCTGCATGTCAGGCGATCAGGCTAATCAAGAAGTGATCTTTTTCATTTTAAACAAAGTTCTGCCATCTCTTGTTGGTTTCTCTGTTTTTTTCAAGGGTTTCTAGACAGAGGTGCTGCCTTCCTCTGCTCACGTCGATCCAGAGGTCAACAGAAGGCATGTGTAGGCGCTAGAGAAGGCCTCAGGGCCATGAGCTGGGGACTCAAGTCCTGGGCTGGATTGTGGGAATAGGATGGTGATGAGCCCCATAAGGGCAATGGGAATCTTGAGAGTTGTATTTTTTGGGCCAAACTTATATGCCTGGTGGCCCCAAGGAAAGGGCAAGATACTCTACTTTTTGGGGGGAGGAGGTGCCTAGGGAGCACGCAGAAGACACTCTGGACTTGGTGAGAGTGCTAGTCTTTTTTTCCTTTCTTTCTTTCTTTTAAATTGTTGATTTTTTTATCACTTATATCATGACTTTGCACTCCTTTTTCTGGGATTGTGATCATTCAAAATGGCCCCTTAATGCTGTTAGCAGTGAAATCTGAAGTCCAAAGGATCTGAATAAATTAACTTTGAAGGAGAACAAGTAGTACTAATTATGAAATGTGCCAAATTCCCACCTTTTCTCTCTTTTCCCCTACTCTGTCTTCACCCAGTTGGTCCAAAGCACTTTAAAGGTGATAAAACTGTTTTGTGTACAAATATACAAGGCCATCATCTTCTCCCCCTCCCCAGCCCAGCGTCATCCTCCACCACCTTCCCTTATCCCAAGAGAGTCTAGATTGGGAACGTTTTGCTTTCTTTGCAAAACTTGTGAATTTAGGACCAGCCCAGCAGCAGATCAGCCCCTCCCCTCCCCCATCCTCCCCGTGGGAGTGTTCAAGGGCTATTTGCATATGTCCTGAGAAGGGGAGTCCTGGGAAGCCACCCGTTATCAGCTGTCACGGCCACCCTTCCAGGATAACTGGAGTGAAAGGACATGCCTCATTGTGTCTTGGCTTGGAATGTATTCTGATGCCGGGAAATGTGGGGTGGAAGGCCAAAGTGTAGGGCAGAAGGAAGACAGATGAACGGTTAATGAGGGCTGAAGTGGCAGATTGAGAGAGAGCACAAACACAATAGACAGAGCAACGGATTGATGGATTGGACCAGGAGATGTAAATAGGATAGTTTATCTAAGCTGTTTAGAGTCTCTCCTTCTTATCTATCCATCTATTTATCTATCTACGGGAAGCAGGGGCTGATAGGGGTACAGATAGATAACGCGAGTGAGATGGATTTGTGGCAGGCGCGGAGCCTCCGGGCATCCCAGACTTCAGGACAGCAAAGGGGGTTCAGGACCTGGAGGACAGGTGACAGGCACTTTCCTGGAGGATTCCTTCCCCTCCTGTGCCCCAAATAAAAACACGATGAGTGCGCGGACAGAGAGGGTCCCTCAGGCGGCGGCGCAGGGACCGCTCACCGCCTTCCTGCCCCGGACCCCTCCGCTGACAGTGTGCAGGTGCTCTCCTCTCGGACCCCAGAGCGGACAGCCGCCCATCTGAGGGGGAGGCTGGGAGAGCACTGCCTGGTGCCGGCATACGTTTTCATCCCAAAGCCTTGCTTTAAATTCCAGTCAGGCTTCCAGTCTCGCAACAACAGGGGAAAGGAAGAGGAGAAAAAAAAAGAGAAGGAAAGCTAACAGGGCTCCGGCTGTTCCGGAAAGCTGTCAGCTGTCAGGTCTGCTCAACTGACAACCCGGAGCCCTGGGAGCCCAGCCCCCAGAGAGGGGAGGGCTGGCCTGGGGGTGGGGTGGGGCGTTGTTGCTGCTTGCCAACCGCAGGATGAGCTTCCCTCCCTACCCTGCCCTCCCTCTGGGGTCAGGCAGGGCCCTGAGCTAACCAGCAAGCTTCCCAGAGGGGCTGGGGAGTGCGGTGGGTGTGTCCTCTGGCCCACCAGTCACCCCGGGGAAGAAGGCGCCGCAGGGTCCAAGGGGGCTGCGGAGAAGTCAGGCCCTCTCAGAACACCCCTCCCTTGTTAGGCTGGGGCGGGTTCTTTAGGGCGAGGGAGGGGGTGGCAGTGGAGGCGAAGCTCAGAGATTTCCAGAGCTGACTCTAGGCACGCAGGTGCCGTGGAACCCACTTTGGTCCATGTCACATTGGGATTGAGTATCTTCCGGCTAGCTAGCTGGCAGCCACTCTTGGGACAAGCTGGCCCTCCCTCGCCGCATCTCCACACGCTGGCTTCCAGGATCTCCTCCTCCTGTTCTCTCTGCCGGACTCAGATTCCTAGGTTTGAAATTTCTGTGAACCTCAAGATCGCCTTTTCAGGGCAGACTCTTGTGCCAGGTGGTAAAACATAACTGGGCTCGATTCCAGTCCTCACCGCCCAGTGACTTTGTGACCTTCATCCAAGACCCTACTACTTACTGTGTAACCTTGATTTCAGTGCCCCCTACAAACCCTGTGACCTGGCCTCGAGTCCCATCCCCACTTTCTATTGTCTGTGTGACCTCGATTCTAGTCCTGACTGCTTGTTATGAGACCTTCATCCTAGTCTGACCTACTTACTGTGACCTTCATCCTAGCCCTCACTGCTTATTCACCATAACCTTCATCCTAGGCCCCACTACTGACTGACTGTGACCTTGAGTCCAGTCCCCACTATTTACTGTATGACCTTGATTCCAGTCCTCACTGCTTACTCACTGTGACCTTCATCCTAGATCCCACTGTTTATTCATTGTGACCTTCATCCTTGGCCCCATACTGACTGATTATGACCTTGACTCCAGTCCCCACTATTTTCTGTATGACCTTGACTCCAGTCTCCACTGCTTACTCACTGTGACCTTCGTCCTAGATCCCACTACCTACTTACACGTGATTTTGAACAAATAAGCCTTATCCCTAAGAGGGAGATAATCTCTAATCCACTGATCAAACAAAGTGCACATACAGAGACAATTCATAAACTATAGGCGTCTGTAAGACATTATTCTTCCCTGATTTATCTTGGTTCCCCTGACAGCCCCTGGCACAAAGACTTACACAGAGTAGGCACTCAATAATAGTCAAATGAATGAATAAATAAATGGATGAGGGGATGTAGTAGAGAAATGTTTCCTGGAGCATCTGTGCCCACTACAGCTTTAGACTCGGGAGCTCTGGGATGGGACCTGGGAGTCCAGCCTTCACAGGTCGTCAGTGTTTCAAAACTGGCAAGTTTCTCTTCTAAGCAAGGAAGAAGCAGAGGGCCAATAACCAGGTTTTGTGATTTTTTTTTTAAGCATATAGACTATGACATTGTTGAATCCCCAGCACATAGCACAGTGCCTGAAAAACAAGATTGACGCTCAGCACAACGTTTTATAGCTTGAGGGTTACAGTCAAGGTTTTGGTAGAAAGCCGGTTACTGAAGTTTCATTGATGATTGAACATTCGTCCCTACCCTCAAAACAATCACATGCAGAGATAGTTTTAAGACATGGCTACAGTGCACCCAGAGACATACACAGGGACATCACTCCAAGAGGGCTAATGTCTGGCAAGGCCAGGCGGGGCTGGGCTGGGGTGAGGCAGGCGAGGTACCTGGGACACCAGATTTAAGTAGGCGGTACTCTCATTTCTGTGGAAGTGCCTCCTTGGATTGTGTGCCTTTGGGGCCCTGCCCGCCTTACCCTAGGTCTGTCCTTGAGGTAAGGAGAAGGGTTAGAGGGGGCTTCTGGAAAGAGTCATTAGGTCTGAAAAGATGAATAGATGGTGGTTTTCCAGGGGTCTCTGAGGAAGGAAGTTACTTCAGAAAGAGGGAAGAGCAGAGAGGTGTGACAGCCACGATGGTGCAGGTAGAGGTTACCTGCCCGTGGAGAGGGCAGGGGCGTAGATTAAACGTAGAAAGTTGGGAGACCTGAGGAACACAGCATGGCGGGGTCTTGCCAACCGCGTTAAGGACCTTGGAATTGACTTTGCTGGCTATGAGAGCCGGAGAGTAACATGGTACATTTATGCTTGAAACAGAACATTCTGGTCAATCTCTAGACACTGTGCTGTCCAGTTCATAGATCTTATGAACCACAAATGCGAGCCATATGTGTTACTTTAAATTTGCTAGTAGCCATATTAAAAAAGGACCGGGGAAAGGAAAAACTAATTTGAATAATATATTTTATTTGACTTGATATATTCAAATACAATCATTATAACCATTTTAACATGTAATCAATATTAAACAATATTAATGAGACATTTTATATTCCTTTTTATTGTACTAAGTCCTCAGAATCCAGTGTGAATTCATGCTTATAGCACATCTCAATTCAGTCTAGCC